GACCAATCAACTTCAATGACAGTGCATACATTATCAGAGTTGTGTGTTTTGTTTGCATTACGACTGCAGGTATTGTGGTCAATGCAAACATGACTCCTTGTAAAAAAGGTGTCAGTTTTGTTGCCAGATAGAAGGGTACAAAAACAATTATCATGCTTCTGTTTACTTAATGGGAGAACGTTAACTTCAAACTCTGGATAAGCGCTAGAAATGGAAGTGTGCGTCTCTTGTCCTAAGAGAGGATCGCGCATACGGGAGTTGCACACCGACACCCCCCTCGCCAGCATTGCAGAACAATGCGATCATTACGATAAAGACGCTGAGATTTATTTCTGAGTTTTAATGTAGAAATTCAAGTCTTGGCAACCTTGGCTGCGTCGGTAAACAAAATGTATTCAAATGAAAGCTCGTTAAAAACGGGGTTGTACATCCAGGAGAAATACACTGACGTTTGTCAAACAGCAACTTGCAAAGAGAACGCTAAAATGCACCGCTAAAATAGTACGCGCAGTACAACGCAGGCCAGTGAGTGGTCTGGACGAATTTGTTAAAATGTTACAAATATCTCGCTCAAACAGTATTAATACTGACTCATGTTCTGGCTGGCAATTGTAAACAACAACAACAACTTTAAATTTCGATTTAAAGCTTTCGTGACTGCAGGGATTCATCTTCTTGGTTCTTTCGGTAAAGTCACGTAGAAGGGAAATAATAAAATAATAAAAATAAAACATTAAAATAATTCTCACGACGTTTCGGCCACAACGCAAGCAGCCGTCCTCAGGTGAAGAACAGGTCTGTCGGAAAGACAGCGTCTAAATGAACAGGTCTGTGGGAAAGACAGTCGGAAAGACATATCTGTTCATTCAGACGCTGTCTTTCCGACAGACCTGGTCTTCACCTGAGGACGGCTGCTTGCGTTGTGGCCGAAACGTCGTGAGAATTATGTTATTATGTTTAAATTTTATTATTTTATTATTTCCCTTCTACGTGACTTTACCGAAAGAACCAAGAAGAAGAACAACAACAACGTCATTCTACTTGCATGTAAAACGGAATGAATAAACTACAAAGATGACAACGTGTAAACAAACAAACAAACACCGCAGCTTCAGACAGACGACAACAATCGAGGAGGAATTGCACAAACAGTGTAAACTACACAAGCTGCGTGCTATGTCAAATAACACTGCGTGAAAGTTTAGCAGAATACTTTTATCTTTTCAAGACTAGCGAAAGCAAAGCTTTAACATTTTAAACATTGAGTAACGCTGCTTTTGTAAAAGACGGCACTGGTAGAAAACTTAAAGTGTGCACATAAAAGACTTTTTTTCCAGATCGTTCTTGTATCTTCCACCTACAGATGTTCCTAATCATAGCATTATCTATCCACATTTAACATGCCCATTCCTAACTCCGTTTTCCCCCTCTTTGCAATCATTTTAATACGAAAAAACACCTCGCCCCTAGTACCCACTTTATTCCAACAGCACTTCAGTTAGTCCAGAAATACCTTTGCTCAAAAAACATCCTGCATTCACAAAACACATTTCAGGCACGGCAGTGGTCTGCTTGCGACACATTTGTTCTCAGAGCGACCGGCGAGTTATCACGAGTCAAAGCATCGTTAATTTTGGAGCTTTCGTGACTGCAGGAATGATTCTTTGGTTCTTTCGGTAAAGTCACGTCTGAAGATAAAATAATAAATTAATTAATAGCATACGACGTTTCGTTTGCAACACAAGCAATCATCGTCAGGTATAAATGAAATAGCAACAAAAAATCTAACCAGAAAACTATAGACAGACAAATTAATTTAGTGTGTTCTTTCTCCCTCTCTCCTAATGTTCAAGCTTGCGTACATTACTACGCGTCTTCTTCGTACTCATTGACATGTACATTTTGTCTCTAACCCCTCCCTCTGTCTGCCTCCGCCCCCCTCTGTCTATATGAGGCCACCCCACAGAGACGATCACCCCTCTCTGTGCCTGTGTTACTCTCTCTCTGTGTATCTTGGTGATATCTGTCTGCTCATATGTCTGTCTATAGTTTTCTGGTTAGATTTTTTGTCGCTATTTCATTATACCTGACGACGATTGCTTTGTTGCAATCGAAACGTCGTAGTATGCTATTATTTAATGTATTATTTTATCTTTAGACGCGACTTTACCGAAAGAACCCAAGAACAAAGCATCGCCGTCACTTCGCACCCCGTCAGTGCCGGCCATTTTGTTTTCTTGGCCTTCACCCATCGCAGGATCGTCCTCCGTCGGCACGGCTCAACTCAAACGGCGGGAACTCTATCTTTGTTTCCCACGCCCCCCCCCCCCGCACATCCTCCCACTCTGCCTAGTCGTTCCGGCCCTCCGCCCCGCAGTCCGTCATCCCCCTCTTGAGCTCTTCCACTCACTCAGCCACCCACTCATTCACTCACTCACCAACCCTCCTCACTCACCCACCACCCACCCACTCACCAACCTCACCACTCATCCACCCACTCACCAACCTCACCCAATCACCCACCCACTCACTCACCCACCACTCATTCCTCACTTCCCCAACCCTCTCACTCACCCACCCACCCACCTCACCCACCCCTCATCCACCTCACCACTCATCACCCCTCACCAACCTCACCCAATCACCCACCCACTCACTCACCCACCCCACTCATTCACTCACTCACCAACCCTCGCACTCACCCACCCACCCACCCACCCACTCACCCACCCACTCACAACCTAACCACTCTCCACCCACTCACCAACTCACCCAATCACCCACCCACTCACTCACCCACCCATCATTCACTCACTCACCACCCTCTCACCCACCCACCCACTCACCCACCCACTCATCCACCCACTCACCAACCTCACCACTCATCCACCCCTCACCCAACCTCACCCAATCACCCACCCACTCACTCACCCACCCACTCGTCACTCACTCACCAACCCTCTCACTCACCCACCCACCCACTCATCCACCCACTCACCAACCTCACCACTCATCCCACCCACTCACCAACCTCACCCAATCACCCACCCACTCACTCACCACCCACCCACTTCATGCCACCCACTCACCAACCTCACCACTCATCCACCACTCACCAACCTCACCCAATCACCCACCCACTCACTCACCCCACCCACTCATTCACCTCACCACAACCCTCTCACTCACCCACCCACCCACTCACCCACCCACTCATCCACCCACTCACCAACCTCACCACTCATCACCCACTCACCAACCTCACCCAATCACCCACCCACTCACTCACCCACCCCTCATTCACTCACTCACCAACCCTCTCACTCACCCCCACACTCACCCACTCACCCACCCACTCACCAACCTCACCACTCATCCACCCACTCACCACCGCACCCAATCACCCACCCACCTCACTCCACCCACCCACTCATTCACTCACTCACCAACCCTCTCCTCACTCATCCACCCACTCACCACCCACCACTCATCCACCCACTCACCAACCTCACCACTCATCCACCCACTCACCAACCCTACCCATCACCCCCACTCACTCATCCACCCACTCATTCACTCACGTCACAAACCCCTCACTCACCCACCCACCCACTCACCAACCTCACCACTCATCCACCCACTCACCAACCTCACCCAATCACCTACCCACTCACTCACCCACCCACTCATTCACTCACTCACCAACCCTCTCACTCACCCACCCAACCACTCATCCACCCACTCTCCAACCTCACCACTCATCCACCCACTCACCAACCTCACCCAATCACCCACCCACCCTCACTCACCCACCCACTCATTCACTCACTCACCAACCCTCTCACTCACCACCCACCACCCACTCATCCACCCACTCACCAACCTCACCACTCATCCACCCACTCACCACCTCACCCAATCACCCACCCACTCACTCACCCACCCACTCATTCACTCACTCACCAACCCTCTCACTCACCCCCCACCCACTCACCCACCCACTCATCCACCCACTCACCAACCTCACCACTCATCCACCCACTCACCAACCTCACCCAATCACCCCACCCACTCACTCACCCACCCACT